ACGCCAAAAAGATCCAGCCCAAAAAACACACACACACACACACACATGCACACACAGATGCACACACACACACATGCACACACACACACACACACATGCACACACACACACACACATGCACACACACATGCACACACACACACACACACATGCACACACGCACACACATGCACACACGCACACACATGCACACACACGCACACACATGCCCACACGCACACCCATGCCCACACGCACACACACACACACACACATGCCCGCACACACACACACAAACACAAAAGCAATCAAATGCTCGCATTCGAGTACATGTTTTCTGTGCCTTTGTCAAAGCCGCAAAAGTCCAAAGTCCAGGACGTCCAAAGGAAGCAAAACCAAAAACCAACCAAACCAAAACAACAAATCAGAAGAAGCTACAACCCACAAGCAGCAAACTCCCAGACGAAATCCAAAACCAAAGAAACCAAAAGAGCAACAAAAAGCAAACGACAGCAACAAAACCAAAGAGACCAAGACCAACACCAAAAAAAAACCAAAATCACAGCCGAGATCCAAAACCAAAGAAACCAAAACCGAGACCAACAACAACAAACTCCCAGCCGAGATCCAAAACCAAAAAACATTTTTTGTTGTTTTGGTTTTTGGTTTCGGATCTCGGCTGGGATTTTGTTTTTGTTTGTTTTTTTGTTGTGGTTTTTGGTTTTGGATCGCGGTTACGTTTTGTTTTGTTTTGGTATCTTCGGTTTTGGATCTCGGCTACGGTTTGTTTTTTTCCCCAAACAGGCACGGTTTGGGGTTCTCTCCTCGGAAAAAAGGTGGGCAGCGGTGGGTTGGATCCCTGGGCCGCGGCAAACGGGCTGGGCTCCCATTGGGCTCCCTTCATGTTTCCTTTCTGGGCTCCTGGGTTGGACGGGTGGGACGCGGCGAAGGACCTGGGCTCCCCTTTACTTCCCTTCATGTTTCCTTTCTGGGGTTCTGGGTTGGACGGGTGGGCCGCGGCGAAGGACCTGGGCTCCCATTCACTTCCCTTCATGTTTCCTTTCTGGGCTCCTGGGTTGGACGGGTGGGCTGCGGCAAAGGACCTGGGCTCCCATTGGGCTCCCTTCATGTTTCCTTTCTGGGCTGCTGGGTTGGACCTGGACTCCCGTTGGGCTCCCGTCATGTTTCCTTGGGCCGCGGCAATCCCGTTTACCTCCCTTCATGTTTCCGTTCGGGGCTCCTGGATTGGATGGGTGGGCCGCGGCAAAGGGATTGGGCTGCCAATTGGGTTTCCTTCCTGTTTCCTTTCTGGGCTCCTGGGTTGGACGGGCGGGCCGCAGCAGAGGGCCTGAGCTCCCGCTGGGTTCCCTTAATGTTTCCTTTCTGGGCGCCTGGTCTGCCACAAACGTCTACAGCAGAGGCCAGGTATCCGGTATCCTGTCTTGCAAGGCAGCAATGCTGTAACAGTTGTGTGTTTTCCATGCGTGGTTTCTGCTGCAGTCCTGTGGACGACACTCTTCGTTCGGTCTGCGGAAAAATCGTCAATGGTTCCGTGCAAAAGAAGATTTTCGTTCGCCTTAGAAGCCGACAAACCTCTTCGCACTTCTTTTTGCCAAGTTTGCACGGCAAAGTTCCCAATTTGCTCCGTCCGACAGGCGACCGATCCGTATACCAACCTGCTTCGGGCTTCCTCCGCAATCATCAGGTATCCTGTTTTGCAAAGCAGCAATGTAACAGTTAGTTGGTCGAGTACGACGTTCCCTGTCCTTGTATAGGTAACATGTCTGACTGTGTAGCTTAATGTGCCAATGACATGATCTTTGGCTCAAGTAATGAGAAAAGAGGTACGCTTGCAGTTGTGTTCCTCTTCGGGCTGGGCTTCCCTTTTGGGTTTCGTTGCCTTGCCCGGCGATCCTACCCCAATATCGTTGTGCTGCTGTTGAGGGTCGGATTAACTCAGTTGCGGGAAAGTTGTGTGTGTGTGTGTGTGTTCTCCGTGCGTGGTTTCTGCGGAAGTAAGATCCTGTGGACGAAGTTCTTCGTTCGGTCTCTGGAAAAATTCGTCAGTGGTTCCGTGTAAGGAACGATATTCATTTTGCCTTGTAAACCGACACACCCCTGTGCGGTCTTCTTTTCGCCAAGTTTGCGCGGCAAAGTTCCCACTTTTCCCCGTGCGACAGCCAACCGATCCGTAAACCAACCTTTTTTGTGCTTCTTCCACAAACGTCTACAGCAGAGGCCAGGTATCCGGTATCCTGTCTTGCAAGGCAGCAATGTTGTAACAGTTGCGGGAAGGTTGTGTGTTCTTCCGTGCGTGGTTTCTGCGGCAGCAAGATCCTGTGGACGACGTTTTTCGTTTTGTCTGCGGAAAAATGTCAATGGTTCCGTGTAAAGGGGAACTTGTGTGTTTCTCCGTGCGTGGTTTCTGCGGCAGCAAGATCCTGTGGACGACGTTCTTCGTTTTGTCGGCGGAAAAAATCGTCAACGGCTTCGTGTAAAGAAAGATTTTTGTTTACGATGTAAGCCGACAAACCCCTTTGCGTTTCTTTTTGCCAAGTTCGCGCGGCAAAGTTCCTACCTTTTCCCGTGTGGCAGCCAACCGATCTGTATACCAACTTGTTTTGCGCTTCTTCCACAGACGTCTACAGCAGAGGCCACATATCCTGTCTCGCAAAACGGCAATGTTGCGTGTTTTTTCCGTGCGTGGTTGCTGCGGCAGCAAGATCCTGTGGATCTTCGTTCGGTCTGCGGACAAAACCGTGAATGGTTCCGTGTAAAGAAAGATTTTTGTTTGCCTTGTAAGCCGGCAAACCCATTTGCTCTTCTTTTCGTCATAATTGCGCGGCAAAGTTTCTACCTCCTCCCGTGTGGCAGCCAACCGATCTGTATACCAACTTGTTTTGCGCTTCTTCCACAGACGTCTACAGCAGAGGCCACATATCCTGTCTCGCAAAACGGCAATGTTGCGTGTTTTTTCCGTGCGTGGTTGCTGCGGCAGCAAGATCCTGTGGATCTTCGTTCGGTCTGCGGACAAAACCGTGAATGGTTCCGTGTAAAGAAAGATTTTTGTTTGCCTTGTAAGCCGACAAACCCATTTGCTCTTCTTTTCGCCATAATTGCGCCGCAAAATTCACGCTTTTTTCCTGTGCGACAGCCAACCGATCCGTATACAAACCTGTTTTGCGCTTCTTCCACAAGCGTTTACGGCAGAGGCCACATATCCTGTCTTGCAAAACGGCAATGTTGTGTGTGTGTTTTTTCCGTGCGTGGTTTCTGCGGTAGCTATAGATTCCATGGATCTTCGTTCGGTCTGCGGAAAAAGTCGTGAATGGTTCCGTGTAAAGAAAGATTTTTGTTTTGTGTTGTAAGCCGACGCACCCCTGTGCGCACTTCTTTTCGCCAAAATTGCGCGGCAAAGTTCACACTTTTTTCCCGTGTGACAGCCAACCGATCCATATAGCAACCTCTGTTGTGCTTCTTCCTCCAATGTCTACAGCGGAGGCAAGGAATCCTGTTTTGCAAAACGGTAATGTTATGAAATTTGTGGAGACGTTGCGTTTTTCCTTTGTGCGGTTCCTGCGGCAACAAAATCCTGTGGACAATGCTCTTCGTTCGGTCAGCTGCAGAGAAAACGTGAATGGTTCCGTGTTAAGAAGGCTTTTTGTTTGCCTTGTAAGCCGACAAATCCCTTCCTACCTTTCTTGCCAAACATGCACGGCAAAGTTCTCGTTTTCTTCCCGTCCGACAGCCAACCGAAGCGAACACCAAGCTCTTTTGCACTTCGTCCGCGAACGCTTGCAGCAGAGGCCAGGTATCCTGGTGTTGCAGCAAGATCCTCCGAACGATGCTCCCTGGACCCTCCCAAAAACCTTCCCACATGCTTGAATCCCACCACCCACTCTTCTGTCGCAGAAATATATCGCCCAATGCCTAATTCTTCTTCGCAAAATCTGCTGGCGAAGCCAGGTTGGGATCCAACACATTCCAACTTGAACCGGTATGATTCGATGCATTCTGTTTGGTGTCTTCGCTGGTGTAATTTGGTTTTGGTTTATTTGGTTTTGGATCTCGGCTGGGATTTTGTTTGTTTTGGTTTCTTTGGTTTTGGATCTCGGCTGGGATTTTGTTTGTGTTGGTTTTGTTTTCTATTTTTGCGGTTCCTTGGCTGTTGTGGGTTTTGGAATTCTTGTGAGAAGGGTCGGGAAACGACGGCATTGGTAAAACTAGCAAAAATGCAGGCGCCGTTTTCCGACTCCAAACCCTGTTTCTTCGAAGGCACTGAAGACAAGATTCAAGATGCATCTGATAAGCTGCCGAAGCTCGTCGCCGGGCAGAGCAGCTGAAGACTTGGTGACAGGATATGAAAGTATAGGGGTTGCTTTGATGCTTGTTTAATGGGCAGCAGCGTTGGATCAAGCGAAGCTCCGACATTGTGCATGAGGGGCTAGTCGTTGGTGATCCTTGGAGTGTGCAACTAAGTTCTTGATGGCTGCCCAAAGCCAGAGGGCGAGGCGGGACAGTGAAAGACCAGGGTTAAGTTGTTTCATCGGCAGGAGCTTTGGGGGCCGTTATAACCTTCAGAATACGGCTTCCGCATCTGTTCAGGGCATCTTGTCAGGAACGGAAGCAGACGTGTCTGCAAGAGGGCTTTTCATGCCATGCATGCCAGATGGTTGTTATTCATTCAGTGCCTCGACGTTCTCAACTGGGCCCTGACTGCGAACAAACCTAGCTTCAGTATTTGAGCGCATCTTTGACTTCGCATATGTTGTCAAACGAATCTCGTAGCTTTTCTGGGTCAATTCAGGATGTCCCGAGGAGATCTTAGAGTGCCGATGCCATAGTGAAGAGCGTCACCGATGAAAGTGAAACCAGGTTCAACTTGCTACGCCTCTGTCGGCAGATCGCTAGGCGGTCCGAGATGGAGGCAGGCCCTCGTACTTCGGAAACTCGATTCAGAGCGAGTCCTGCTCATAGTCAGACTCGACAGGGAGGGAGCTCAGAACGATGCGGTATTCAAGATGGATGGGAAAGCCTTTACAATTGTGGAAGGCGAATCATCTGCCTTGAAGAAGCATTGCAGTCAAGCCTTTCTGGCACTCGAGATCGAGGCCACAGAAGTCTTGGCCAGTGGCGAGAAGTTCATGGACGACAACCAAGACCTGGTTTTTACAACCGCGTCGGAGGATGCCGCGGTGGCAGTCCAGCCAACGTCTGTATCGAAAGAATCCAGCAGCGACTCGGACCAGTCTTCAGCCGACAGCGAGATGGGTGCAGAGGATCTGTTGAAGAACATCGCAAAGATACAAAAGCACTGGCAAGGAAAGGCTTTCTCAGAAGAAGAGGACAAAGACAAGAAAAAGAAAAAGGAGAAACACAGTCAGCGAACTCCTCGTTACGCTCTCCTTGGTCGGAAGGGCTCACTACGACAAGAGACAAAGGACAAAAGGCCAGCCGAAGCAGCAACTGTGCTAGGCAGAGCTGCCTCCAGCAGCGGAGTGGATCCGTTGCAAGCTCTGGGTGTGCAAGAGCTGCTAAAGCAGCTAGGGGCCCGAAGCAGAAGAAAGAGGAGAGAGTCAAGTTCTTCGACGTCAAGCAGTGCAAGTTCCGAGAGCAGCTCGGGCAGCGTTCACAAGCCAAAGAAGTCTTCAGGAGTGGCAAAAGCCATGGGGGACTACAGGCAGATGAAGAAGGACATGAAGAGACATCCGATGAAGCACGTGCGCAGATACGTGCGGCAAGTCGAAGAAGACCTAGGTGTAACAGGCGAGCTCCCGTACCGTTTGACAGACCACGGCAAGAGGATACCGTGGGGAAAGCAGAAAGGATTGCAAAGAGTATACTTTCTGCTCGGGGCCATTCTGGAGCAGCAGCTGAAAGGCAATGCGGAGCAAGCAGCCCTTCTGACAACACAGTCGCTGCGCGCAGTCCACCAGACCGCCTTGGATGGCGGCAACTGGAACGTTGCCTGGATGTTGACGGGTCTCCAAGACCCCTTCGTCAAACGCAAGTTCGGGGGCGAAGAGGAGTCCCTGGAGACAATCGCAGCCTACATGCGAGCGACCCAGGAGCTCGAACGCCGTGCCAAGACGTGGAGCCTCAGCCAAGACAGCGGTGCCGCGCCAGAGAGCGAGGAACCCGAGCAAAGAGGCACCGGGAAAGGTCGAGGGCGAGGCAAGCAGCAAGACACCCAGAGAAGCGAAGCTTGACTGCAGAGGACGGTCAAGACAAGAACACCGCAGGTGGACTCCTGGAGCAGACGCTCTTGAGTTACCACGGTTCGTTTGCAAGGTTTTTTAAAGTTTTCGCTTCGTACTGTGACAAGTGCGAGGCTGGGGCCTGGACATCGCCTGCGTCAGGCGAGTGCATTTTCCCGTCCCTTTTCCATCTTAGAAGGTGGGGCAGCCTTTCTAGAAAAACGAAGTGGCGACAACGCCAACGGGGACGAGGTGTGACTCAGGAGGCTTACCGCTGGTGCCAGTTACTTTGGGGCTACTGCAACTTCCTACAGGCAGGTTGCCCCGCCAGGCTCTGCGAAGCTGAAGGTTGGTGCCAGCGTGCTCTGTCCAACACATGGACTGAAGTCCACTCGAGTCATGCTGAAGCAATGTTTCGTAATGTGCTTGAATTCTGCAGCCTTGAGGTAACCGAAACCCCAAGTAGAGGCATCAAGCGTGTCAGCGAATTAGTTGAATTGATGGTTGCCAGTAATTATCATAATTTAGGTGCATGCGATTGGCAAGAAATGCAACAGTCGGCCAAATTTGTGCGCCCTGAACGCATGTCATTGCCTGAGCGCGCTGGCATCATTGATCCAGCAGATTTCCTCAAAGGATCACATCTGGAGCAGTTTACTCAGATGCACAAGCATGTCCCCATTGAAGTCGTGCCTTCAACCAGGGTCAAAGCTTGCCACAAGGTTCGCGCCTGTGACGTGGTGCCTGTGTACAACAAACTGCTCCAGTCAGGTGTTGCCGTTCTCCTTCCAGAAGAGCAGGCCTTGTACGACTCAACCGGCCGGTTAGTATCAGGAGGGTTGTTTGGGGTTGCGCATAAGGAGCATAGTGATAGAGTTATCAACGACCGTAGGCCCTTCAATCAAGCGGAACGCAGGCTGGTGTGGGCCAGACTTCCCCATGGCACGCTTCTGACACAGCTAGTGCTCAGTAAGGAGTTTTCTGTGCGAGCGTCAGGAGATGACTTAAAAAAATATTTCTATCTTCTGAAGCATATCCCAGAATGGTTGTCTCGCAACGTAGTTGGCAAACCTGTTAGTGGAGCTTTCTTTGAGCGTTTCGGTGCAGACCCTTCTAGGCGCTACGTGTTGGCCTTTAAAGTTGTATGTATGGGTGATCTCAACGGGGTTGACATTTGCCAGCAGACCCATGTTGAGTTGTTACGGGATTGTGGCGCTATGCGCCCTGAGCACGTGCTTGAGTACCAGTCACCGCTACCCCTTGAGCCCACGTTAGAGGGGCTGTACATCGACGATCATGTGGTAGTGCAAATCACCCCAAAGAAGAAACATCGACGCAAGGACCCTGACCCGAAATGGAACCTAGATGAGACTCTCATTGGATTGAGTAGACGGCAGTATCAGCGATTAGGCGTGCCGGTCTCTTTGGAGAAGAGGTTTACGAAGCAATCGAAGTTCACAGCGTGGGGCACTGAAGTTTGCAGTGCCTCCGGTCGTGTTGGAGCACCGCAGCACAAACTTCGCCAGCTCTGTCAACTAGTTTGTCGGTTGCTTAGGCTAGGAAGGGCTAGCAAGAAGTGCCTGCAACAAGTCGTCGGTCTGTTTGTTCACCCTTTCACTCACAGACGGCTGTGCATGTCGATATTTTCAGAAATTTATTCCCTTATTGAAAGCTGGCCTTCGAAAGGAGAGCACAAAATCCCCAAGGTGCTGGCCGAAGAACTGCTCGGTGCCTGTCTCGTTCTGCCGCTCGCTGCGACAAACGTTCGCTGGCCTGTAAGCCGCCGCCTTAGTTCAACAGACGCCAGTCTTACTGGTGCCGGGCGGTGTGCTACACGCACCACCTCCTCTCTGAGCCGGGTTTTGCACCGCGCTGCTGAGCACAAAGGAGAGCGAGTTCGTTTGGACTGGGCTACCGTAGGCATTGCACCTCTCACAGACATGAAGCTTCCTAGCCGTCATATCGAGCGCTTGGCGGGCCTGCACAGGTGGTCAGTCACGGAGTCGAAGCCTTTTCGCAAGCGCCAGCATATCAACATCTTGGAGCTAGAAGTCATACATAGGGAGTACTCCGATCTTGTGTCACAAGTCAAAGGCGGGCTACGCTGTGTCAACCTTACTGATTCAAGGGTAGTGCTTGGTGCGGTAGCAAAGGGTAGAAGTTCGAGTCGTAACCTAAACCGCGTTCTGCGAAGATGCTTGGCCTTGAGTCTCGCCGGGCAAAAGATTCTTTACAACGTCTGGGTATCGACTCATGCTAACCCTTCCGATTTCCCATCACGTTTCAAGCAAATTCCACCTCCCGAATCTCCCTTGCCGGACGAATTGGCCTTGCTGGGTGCCGAGTGGTTCAAGTCTCAAGAGCCCTTGACCAAGCAGCAGCTGTGGGCCTTTTGTAGTCAAGAAGCCGCTGCGGCCGTGACAAGTTCCTGCCCACCCTCTAGTCCCTAGTCCGGTTTAGGCTCTTCGGGTTGTTGACTTTCGGGTTTGTTCTGCTAGCGTGCCGCTTGTAGTTCTGTGGTTTTCCCGCGGCCTTTGTCGTCGCATGGAGGTGTCTTCTTCGAGTTGGTGGCACTTCAAGTTGGCTCGCTTGAGTCATGCTTACCGTTCTCGCCTGCTCGCCTCGGGCGCCGTTCTGTTTCGGTACTTGCGTGCACAGCACGTGGTGGATGTGCAGCAGTTCATGCGCAGTGCCCGTCGTGCGGATGCCCTGCTCCAGGCTTTTGTGCAGCGCACTTGCGATACTCCTACTTCTCGAGCAGTTCGTTTGGCCAAGCATGCTGTTCTCTTCTGCCAGGTCCTCTGGCCACGCTTGCGGCACCGTTTGCCGGAGACTTGGGCCTTGCTGCGCGCGTTAGAAGAGTTGCAGCCTAAGAAGGTTCGTGTTCCGCTTCCCTTCCCGCTGCTGCTGTGCATGGTCGTCGCCGCTCGCATCCATGGCTGCCGCGTGCGCGGGCGTTCGGCGCGTGAGTGGTTCGTGTTCGCCTGCTTGCTTGAAGTCGGGTTCTTTGCCATGCTCCGCCCTGGGGAGTTGTTGGCGTTACGCGCTCGAGATGTTGGCACTCTCAACAGCTTGTCGTTGGGGTTTGCGCACTGCACGCTGCGGGTCGCCAAACCTAAGAATAGGCGCAGCGTAGGCCCTGAGCAGTTTGTGCAACTTACACATCCTTGTGTCTGCATGTGGTTGACGCACTTTGTCAACACGTTGGCCCCAGATCAGTTCTTGTGGCCGTCGTCGACGTCTGCTTTTCGGAAGCGGTTTCAAATCGTGTGTTTTTTGCAGCATTTTTTAAGTGGGTTCCCATGGTTTTTAACAATATCGACGGTGGGTTCCCTGTGGGTTCCCTTGTTTTTTTTGCAACACTTCAAGTGGGCTACATATGGGTTCCTTTGTTTTTTGCAGCATTTCGGGTGGGTCTGTGTATGTTCTTCATTGATTCTTCACTTAGCTTTCTTGTAGATTGCCATGGTTTTTGCAGCATGGACGGTGGGTTCCCTGTGGGTTCCCTGTGGGTTCCCTGTGGGTTCCCTGTGGGTTCCCTGGTTTTTGCAGCATTTTTAAGTGGGTTCCCATGGTTTTTAACAGCATCGACGGTGGGGTTTGTTGGGTTCCCTGGTTTTTTGCAGCATTTGAAGTGGGTTCCCATGGTTTTCCAGTATACGTCGCTCAAAGGTCTTGGCGGGCTCCCTTGGCTTTTGCAGCATGTCAGCTGGGTTCCCTGTGGGTTCCCTAGTTTTTTGCAGCATTTTTAATGGGTTCCACATGGTTTAACAGCATCGACGGTGGGTTCCCTGTGGGTTCCTTGCTTTTTGCAGCATTGCAAGTGGGCTATATTGCGCAAAGGTCTGGGCGGGCTCCCTTGGCTCTTGCAGTGTGTCAGCTCGGTTCCCTGTGGGGTACATGTGGGTTCCCATGGTTTCTCCAGCTCGCGCATTATGTTTCAGAGAAGAGTGGAACTGAAGAAGATGTTCAGGACAGTGGCTGCAGGTGTGGCCCAGTTCCATCGCACATATTGCGCTGCATTTGGATTTGCTGCTTTGAAGTAAGGCTGCAAAAAGCACGTCTGCTGTTTGCAGTTTGGGTCGAGACCAAAGACGTTAAATAGGCTCACCTCTGATGCACATGAGGCTCGCCGCCCTCCTATTGTAATGCTCTTGATAAGTTTGCTGCGGCTAAATGCCACGCTGATGCGAGGATTTTGCGGCAGGTACTGGCAGATGTTACTCTCAGATTGTAGCTTCAACTGTTTCGATTGCTTGCTGTACGTGCGCGGTGCTTTGCGCCTGGAAGCTCCACTTGCAGGAGCTCTTTTTTCCTACAGAATCGTAGGAAGCCTCGAAGGGCCTCCCCTGTGTGGGAAAGATCTTGTACGAACAAGAACAGAAGCATTTGTCTTGAAATGGCAGCCGATGGCAAGTTTGCCAGAAATAATTCACATTTCACAGCATGTTGGCTTTCTTGGACGTTGATCCAAACAGCATGCGGAAGGATTTTTATTTTCCGTGCAGTTTTCCAGCTGAAACGGGTTCCAAAAAGCAGCTCTAGTCCGGGCACCGAAACGGGCCCCAGATTTTGGCTTTCTTCGTTGGACATACAAGCTCACGCAATTCGGGGCCCCAAATTAGAGCTCAGATTTGGGAGCCATTTCTGGGGCCCAGTCATACCGTTTTTCGTCGAGCAGATGCCACCTCTGCGTACACAGCTGGCCGTTGCGTGCAACCGTATATAAACCTCGCCAGCTCTGTTTTGCATTTTGCCGGTGTTCCTTCAAAATTCGAAATAACAAGGGGAGCGCTCGGAAACATGTGAACCTTGCAAACAAAACTTTCTCACACAGAGGAGGCCCTTCCAAGCATCCTAGAGAACAGCTTCCGGAATTGGCTCCGCAATTCGACCACTCTTTTGGCCCAAGTGTTGCAACCATGTCCGACGTGAAAGCACCTCCGGTTCCTCCTCCTCAAAGAGTGGAGTTGCCGCAGGAGTGTAGAACGTCCTTCGTAAATGAATGTCCTTCCTCGTCTGGCCTGTTGCTACGAGACTTTGTGGTCCGCCTGCGACAGGAGCGTCAGAATGCAAAGGTGTGGTACTGTCTGCGTGTCTACAAGATGTCTTGATTGTCCTTCGTCCAAAGCAGGTGGAAGTGCGCAGAGTCGCGAAGATCCTTAAAGCAGAGCAACTGAGGGTGATCAGCGGTCAGTGAGCAGTGACTAAGCTCTGCCAGCTTTTAGTACGTGAGTCAGTGAGTGTGAGTGAGTGAGCTTTGCTGTGACGAACGGTTGCCTGCAGCGTGTATTCTTCGGTGTCGGGTGAGCAGTGAGCTTCGCTCTTTCTTTTCCAAGGGAATGAATGTTTACGGCTTTGAGCCCGGCACTGATCAGCGGTGCGAGCCCTGCCGAAGCAGTGGGTGAGAGAGCCTTGCTGTGACGCGAACTGTTGCACTGTTGCGTGAGCAGCTAGTAACTTCTTCGTTTTCGGTTGAGCGTGAGCTTTGCTGTGACCCGAACTGTTGCGTCAGTTACTAAACTTTTCGGTTCAGCAGTGTGCAAGCCTTGTCTGAGGCAGGGCACGCATGTTTTACGAGCGTTGAGCCCGGCACTAAAAGCGATGACGCTGCGGAGTGGGGTTTGCCTTCTGGCAATGAGGTCTGCCATCTGAGCCAGTGCATGTATGAGCGTTGCCCAAACTGTTGCCTGAGCAGCTGGTAAACTTTTCGGGCTAGTCAGTGACGAAGCCGTGCTTTGACGTAATCTCAGCCTTCTGTTTCTAAAGGCCACCAAAACGTGGTTGCGTTGCGGTGTAGGGTTTAGGACGAGTAAGTGAGCCTTGCTGTAGTCCATGTGGGCAGCCAAAACTCTTTGTTGACATCTAGAAGGTTTTTCCGAATGCACGAATGTGAGCCCGTCATATCATGCTCATTCGCAAGTGCTTCTGAAATGTTGAGCCTGTTGCAAGGTCGAAGCTGAGCGCCGTAGTCTTTTACATAGAGCAACGCGCAGCATGGGAAATCTGGATCCGAAATTGTCCGCTAGCAGAAAGCTCGGACAGGCAGACTCTACTGATCCGCCGCAGTTTGATTCGAGATTGTATGCTGCAGGGTGTGAGGATACAGGCGAGGGAACCTGAACGAGCCCAGCGGTGGCGGGCAAATGATTTCACCCTTAGGACAAAGCGGTGGTATAATACTCAGCTGCCAACTGAGTTTGATTGACTCCGGCATGTCTGGGACCTTCCACCGTTCTAATAGTGTTATACTACCCAAAGGGTGTGTAAGTGGGTTCCCTTGGTTTTTGCAGCAGATGGGGTGGGTTCCCTGTGGGTTCCCTTGTTTTTTGCAACACTTCAGGTGGGCTACATATGGGTTCCTTTGTTTTTTGCAGCATTTCGGGTGGGTCTGTGTATGTTCTTCATTGATTCTTCACTTAGCTTTCTTGTAGATTGCCATGGTTTTTGCAGCATGGACGGTGGGTTCCCTGTGGGTTCCCTGTGGGTTCCCTGGTTTTTGCAGCATTTTTTAAGTGGGTTCCCATGGTTTTTAACAATATCGACGGTGGGTTCCCTGTGGGTTCCCTTGTTTTTTTTGCAACACTTCAAGTGGGCTACATATGGGTTCCTTTGTTTTTTGCAGCATTTCGGGTGGGTCTGTGTATGTTCTTCATTGATTCTTCACTTAGCTTTCTTGTAGATTGCCATGGTTTTTGCAGCATGGACGGTGGGTTCCCTGTGGGTTCCCTGTGGGTTCCCTGTGGGTTCCCTGTGGGTTCCCTTTGCAGCATTTTTAAGTGGGTTCCCATGGTTTTTAACAGCATCGACGGTGGGGTTTGTTGGGTTCCCTGGTTTTTTGCAGCATTTGAAGTGGGTTCCCATGGTTTTCCAGTATACGTCGCTCAAAGGTCTTGGCGGGCTCCCTTGGCTTTTGCAGCATGTCAGCTGGGTTCCCTGTGGGTTCCCTAGTTTTTTGCAGCATTTTTAATGGGTTCCACATGGTTTAACAGCATCGACGGTGGGTTCCCTGTGGGTTCCTTGCTTTTTGCAGCATTGCAAGTGGGCTATATTGCGCAAAGGTCTGGGCGGGCTCCCTTGGCTCTTGCAGTGTGTCAGCTCGGTTCCCTGTGGGGTACATGTGGGTTCCCATGGTTTCTCCAGCTCGCGCATTATGTTTCAGAGAAGAGTGGAACTGAAGAAGATGTTCAGGACAGTGGCTGCAGGTGTGGCCCAGTTTCCATCGCACATATTGCGCTGCATTTGGATTTGCTGCTTTGAAGTAAGGCTGCAAAAAGCACGTCTGCTGTTTGCAGTTTGGGTCGAGACCAAAGACGTTAAATAGGCTCACCTCTGATGCACATGAGGCTCGCCGCCCTCCTATTGTAATGCTCTTGATAAGTTTGCTGCGGCTAAATGCCACGCTGATGCGAGGATTTTGCGGCAGGTACTGGCAGATGTTACTCTCAGATTGTAGCTTCAACTGTTTCGATTGCTTGCTGTACGTGCGCGGTGCTTTGCGCCTGGAAGCTCCACTTGCAGGAGCTCTTTTTTCCTACAGAATCGTAGGAAGCCTCGAAGGGCCTCCCCTGTGTGGGAAAGATCTTGTACGAACAAGAACAGAAGCATTTGTCTTGAAATGGCAGCCGATGGCAAGTTTGCCAGAAATAATTCACATTTCACAGCATGTTGGCTTTCTTGGACGTTGATCCAAACAGCATGCGGAAGGATTTTTATTTTCCGTGCAGTTTTCCAGCTGAAACGGGTTCCAAAAAGCAGCTCTAGTCCGGGCACCGAAACGGGCCCCAGATTTTGGCTTTCTTCGTTGGACATACAAGCTCACGCAATTCGGGGCCCCAAATTAGAGCTCAGATTTGGGAGCCATTTCTGGGGCCCAGTCATACCGTTTTTCGTCGAGCAGATGCCACCTCTGCGTACACAGCTGGCCGTTGCGTGCAACCGTATATAAACCTCGCCAGCTCTGTTTTGCATTTTGCCGGTGTTCCTTCAAAATTCGAAATAACAAGGGGAGCGCTCGGAAACATGTGAACCTTGCAAACAAAACTTTCTCACACAGTGTGGGAAAGATCTTGTACGAACAAGAACAGAAGCATTTGTCTTGAAATGGCAGCCGATGGCAAGTTTGCCAGAAATAATTCACATTTCACAGCATGTTGGCTTTCTTGGACGTTGATCCAAACAGCATGCGGAAGGATTTTTATTTTCCGTGCAGTTTTCCAGCTGAAACGGGTTCCAAAAAGCAGCTCTAGTCCGGGCACCGAAACGGG